CTGCCTTTGCATCCTCCCTCTCACTCCCCATGCACCTGGCTGGTTTTAAGATTTTCTCTTCATCACTGATTTTCAGTAATTTGATTATGATGCGTCTTACTGTGATTTTTCTTATTTTTCTTTTGTTTCATATTCAATGAGCATTTTGGATCTGTGAGTTTATAGATTTTATCAAGTTTGGAAAAATCTCAAACATCATTCTCTTAAATATTTTTTTCCTATATCCCCACCTCTTTACTGTTATTGTGGTTCCAGTAGTTCTAGTAACAAATATTTTAGGCTGTTTGATGTTTTATTAATGCACTGTTCATTTTTTTCCTCTGTTTCACTTTAGATAAGTTCTATTGCTCTGTCGTCAAGTTCACTTGTCTTTTCTTCTACCCTATCTAGTCTGCTGTTAACCCCATGTAGACAATGAGGCTTTTAAAATCTCTACAAGTTCTATTTGAGTCTTAAATTTCTTCCATTTCTCTTCTCATTGTGTTTATGCTTTATTCTATCTTCTTGAGCACCTGGAGTACATTTATTGTAGCAATTTTAATAACCTTATCTACTAATTCTATCCCCTGTGTTATTTCTGGGTCTATTTCTACTGATATTTTTCATTATTGTTCATATTTTCCTGCTTCTTTGTATGCCTGGATGTTTTTGTTTTCATGCCGCACATTGTCAATTTTCCATCATTGAGTGCTGGGGTTTTTATTCCTAAATGTTTTTGTGTTTTGTTCTGGGATGCAGTTAAGTTACTTGCAAACAGCATGATTCTTCCGAAGTTTTAAAAAAATCTTTATTGGTGGATGCATAACAGCCTTTCGTCCAGGACTATTTTGACCCCACTACTAAGGCGATACTCTTCTGATCAGCCTACTTGACACCTCATGTGTAGGTCTTCCACTATGGCTCATTTAGCTTGAACTGAGTTTTGGGGGTTTTTCTGCCTGCTTCTTTCCAGGGGTTCTTTCCTCATTTTTAGTAGTCTCCTCACAGGATATGCTAATCAGTACTCAAATAAAGAATCAAAGGAGACCCACTTCACATCTCTGGAGCTCTCTGTCCAGCTCTCTTCTCCCTGGAAATCTTCCCTGTGAATTCTAATCACCTTGGACTCTTCAAACTCTGATCTCTGTCCCCTCAACTCAGGGAGACCACTCAGTTCTTCTGGGACTTCCCCTCCCTGCGCTGTGGCCTGGAAACTCACCCAAGGCACAAGACAGAGCACTGTGGGCCTCACCTTATCTCCTTCCCTCCTTTCAGGGATGACTGTGGTACACTATTTCTCCAGATCTAAAAATTGTTGTTTTGTAATTTTTGTTTGCTTTTTGTTGTTGTTTAACCAGAGGGTAAATCTGGTCCTGTTACTCCACCGTGGCTGGAGTGGAGGTCCTCTACATCCCTCCTAAGAAATACGAAAAGGGAACTATACGAACTGCGACAGAATGCTATGTGTTTAGAAGTTTAACATGATACCGAGGAAACGCGTACCCATTCCAGAGCAAAAAAAAAAGAAAAAAAGTTTAATATGAAAAAAGAGCCACTGAGACCTCACTACATGGCTAAATATCCTACGTAGGCAAAAGATATTACAACAAAAAGAGAATTTTAAATCCTAGATTTCAAAAGATGTTCTAATCGTCCAGTCCATCTCTCTCCTTTTGTATATGAGGAAATGAAATCTCAGAGGTGTTAAGGAATTGGCATGTTAGTATTGGTCAGAGCTGGGATCAGAACCCAAGTCCCCAACAGACAAGCCACTAAACCATGTTATTTCCATTCCGCCCATAAATGATAGTGACCATTTGTCAAGTACCATTAAGTACAGCGTGTCCATGTTTTGTAGGCATGACCCTAAACTTCCTGACAACCCTGGTGGTATCAGGGTAGGCACTACCATTGTCACCATTTTACAGATAAATTACCTGAATCTCAGAGAGTTTGAATGATTTGTCTAAGACAACTGTTCTCAAAGTATGGTCCCTGAAACTCTCCTATGGGGTCTGCTGGGTTAAACTATTTTTACAATAATACTAAGATGTTATTTGCCTTTTCTACCACGTTGACACTTGTACTAAAGGTATAAAAGCAAAGGTGGGTAAAACCACTTGCACTTTGGCATGCACCAAAGCAGTGGCACCAAACTGCATTCAAAACTCTTGCCTTTTTCACCCTCGTGAACTTGCGGGGCTTGTAAAAAGCCAGCTTGACTGAAAATGTTCTTAATGTAACAGTATGTTATTAATTGTATTAATTATTGACACCTAAGTAGATGTCATTTTATTGTTCAGTGGGACAAAATGGGAAATACACTTCAAGCACTTCTGCTGCCTCAAAGAAAAGCATTTCCTTGAGTGTCTGAGTTTCAGGCTGAACTGGACACCTTTTTCTTGGGACATCCTTTTTATTTGAAATAATTACTGATATACTACGGTTCATCATATGCAGTTATATGGCAAACGTTTTCCCGAAAATGAAGAAAATGAATCTATTTCTTCAAAGAAAACAACCTGACAATATTTGTTGTCAATGATAAGATGAGCGTTTGGCGGGGGAATGGAATTTTGTAAAACTTCTATTTTTCCCTGTGAGCTTGACAGCTTTTCAATACTTCAGACTCTCCTGATGAGATTGGTGAAGACACTAATAAAATGATTTCATGGTATTATACAATAAAATGCAGCAACATTTGGAATATCTGCTCAACTCAGTGAATAAATATTTTCAAGATGAACAATGCCTGATACCACAAAAATCATACGTTAGTAAAAGTATCCATTCAAAGTACAAAATCAACCAATGCATTTTAATGTAATAGGTGAAAAATGTTCACCAACCTGCTTTCAGATTCCACATTGCAATTAACTTTTAAGAAACTGCCATCTGCCTTAGTAGAATCAAAAAATATCCCAAAATTCCCTGAAAAACCTATTAAAATACTTCCTTGGATTCCAACTGTAGGTCTGTGTGAGACTGAGTTTTTCTCATATACATCAACCAAAACAACATATTGCAACAGAGTGGATGTAGAAACTGACATGAGAATCCAACTGTGTTCTATTAAGCCAGGGAATAAAGAGATTTGCAAAAGTGGAAAACAATGTTACTCTTCTCAGTACATTTATTTATTTATTGGGAAAATAGCTTTTTACATAACAATGTGTTATTTTTAATAACACATAATGGGTTGATTACTGTTACTTCTAAAAAAGTAAATAATTACTTACATTTTCTCCTATTTAATTTTGAATACAGTCAATATCAACAGCTATAACCTACACAAACAAACACTCCTTAGGGTCCTTTAAAAGTGAAGGGTCCTGAGATGAAAACATTTAGGAAGTGCTAGTTTTAAATAGCACATCTGAGCAGTGGGGAAGCCGGGTCTATGTTCCTCTGGCTGCCAAACCCATTTTATTTCCATGACATAATGTTGCCTCCTTCCCCAAAGTCTCATCAGTATTAAAATGAAAAACAGAATTGGGTCCCTAAAAGCTTTATTTTGCAATGTTTTCCATAATACTTAAGTTTTTCAATGTTTAGATATTTTTCTTCATTGAAAGATGAATTTCTTTTTATGGCTTATTTTATATCTTACAATGTTGTTTTCTAAAATATTTAAGTTTTTTGATGTTTAGATTTTTTTTATTTTTTATTTTTGAGATGGAGGCTTGCTCTGTCACTCAGGCTGGAGTGCAGTGGCGCAATCTTGGCTCACTGCAACCTTCGCCTCCCAGGTTCAAGGGAGTCTCCTGTCTCAGCCTCCCGAGTAGCTAGGGCTACAGAGGCGTGCCACCACACCCACTTTTAATAAAGACGGGGTTTCACAGTGTTAGCCAGGATGGTCTCAATCTCCTGACTTCATAATTTGCCCGACTCAGCTTCCAAAGTGCTCTAATTACAGGCATGAACCACTGCTCCCAGCCTGATGTTTGATATTCTTGAGGAAGCAAAAGTTTTTTGTCCTAACACTTTAGAACTCCATTAGGTATTGAAGATGACTATTTTTTGACTGTAAAATAAAATGCAGTAAACATACTAGTTTTATATTGCATACAAAGTCCAAATAGTTGGGAAATGTCCTCTATTAGATTTCACAAAACAGAAAATTCTAAGCCAGGCACGATGCCTTATGCCTGCAATTCCAGGGCTTCGAGAGACTGAGGTGGGAGGATCACTTGAGGCCAGGAGTTTGAGACCAGTGTGGGCAACAGAGCAAGACGCCATCTCCACGAACAATTAAAAAATTACCCAGGGCCGGGAGCGGTGGCTCAAGCCTGTAATCCCAGCACTTTGGGAGGCCGAGGCGGGTGGATCACGAGGTCAAGAGATCGAGACCATCCTGGTCAACATGGTGAAACCCCGTCTCTACTAAAAATACAAAAAATTAGCTGGGCATGGTGGCGCATGCCTGTAATCCCAGCTACTCAGGAGGCTGGGGCAGAATTGCCTGAACCCGGGAGGCGGAGGTTGCGGTGAGCCAAGATCGCGCCATTGCACTCCAGCCTGGGTAACAAGAGCGAAACTTTGTCTCAAAAAAAAAAAAAAATTACCCAGGTGTGGTGGCCTGTACCTGTAGTCCCAGCTACTCTGGAGGCTGAGGCTGGAGGATCACTTGAGCACAGTAGTTCAAGGCTGCAGTGAGCTGTGATGGTGCCACTGCACTCCAGCCTAGGCCACAGAGGTAGACCCTGTCTCTTATGAACAAAAAAGTATGGCCAGGCACAGTGGCTCACGCCTGTAATCCCAGCACTTTGGGAGGCAGAGGTGGGCAGATTGCTTGAAGTCAGGAGTTCAAGACTACCCTGGCAAACATGGTGAAATCCTGTTTCTACTAAAAATACAAAAAATTAGCTGGTGTGGTGGCGCGCACCTGTAATCCCAGCTACTCGGGAGGCTGAGACAGGAGAATTGCTTGAACCTGGGAGGCGGAGGTTGCAGTGAGCCAAGATCACCCCATTGCACTTCAGCCTGGGTAACAGAGTGAGACTCCATCTCAAAAAAAAAAAAAAAAAAAAGAACCAAAAAAGTAATTCTGATTGTCTGGCTCTGGGCTGATCTTTCATCAATTGGGACTAAGCCCTGGGAGTTACAGTGACATCCTGGGGGGGCCAGCCTTGCGGGGGGATGCCCTTAGGAGGAACTCTTGCATGCCTTTCCTCAGCCGGGCATTCTCCGCGGCCTCCCTCAGGCTTCTGTGCAGCTTCTCCATCTCCTTGTATTCACTCCCGACATCTACAGGAGAGCAGAAAGCGCACGTCAGGACTTGACGTCCTTTGTAGAAATGTCTCCAGAAAGCAAATCCCCCAACAATCCTGTCACTTGTCCCAGAATATGAGATCTGGAGTGGCGCTTACAGATCAGACATCAAAGCAGGTATTCCTCCTCTTACCAGAACGCTGTCTCAGCATGGGGTCACCCTCAAAAGAAACACAAACCTACCCATAAGAAAAACTGAGAAGTCACTAGGTCTGTATTAAGCCTTCACAGGCATGTAATATACAAAGCACATTGCACAATAACACCTCCCCTAAGTCCTCTCCAGGCGGCTCCCCCTCCTTTCCCACCCATCCCTAACCTCCCGGAACGATCCATTCTCAGTGAATGTTCTCTCTTTGGCATCTCACGGTTTCATCCCACGATCTGCAATCAAATCATGTTCTCACAAGGGTTAGTTTTATGTGTCAACTTGTCTTGGTCACTGAGTTAAACGAGAGTCTGGATGCCTCTGGGAGGGTGTTTTTAGATGAGATTGACATTTAACTCAGTGGACCTCAAGTAAAGCAGATGGCCCTCTCCAGTGTGGATGGACATCAACCAGCCAGCTGAAGGCATGCATGGAGCCAAAGGCTGGCCTCCCTCAAGCAGGAGGGGATTCTCCAGTGACAGCCTGGGGCCTTCGTCTACAACATCGGCTCTGCCTGGTTCTGCAAGGATGTTCTCTGGACTCCAACTGCCACTCTTTCTGGAGTCTCCATCCTGCTGGCCTCCCTGCATCAGCCTGTGGGCTGACCAAGCCTCCACCATCGTGTGAGCCAATTTCTTAAAATAAATCTCTTCCTCTGTCTATCCACACATGCTACTGGTTCTGTTTATCTGGAGGATGCTGCCTAATGTGGTCCCCTTTGATGGGACCCTTCAGACTGAGCGCCAAATGCCTTTCCAAACCCCCTTGGCTTTCTGTGCCCCACAGGGTGACTCAGGCTAGCTGGCCCTGAGCCTGGCCAGGGATGGGACTCATGAACAGGAGGGGAGTTAGGACCCTGAGTCTTTTTGTCCTGTCTCATATCTGGAAGGCATCCCTTCTCTCTGCTGCCTGTGAAATCAGCCTAACCTTGGAGGCTTCCCCTAGGACCCAGCTTCAGTGAAGCTTCCCACGTCCCAGCCCTGAATAATCACTGTCTCCTGAACTTCAAGAATGACGATCTGAAGTGTGAGTGGGTGCCCTCCCTCAGGGCCTTGCTTAAGTGTGCCATTCCCAGGGAGACCTTCCTTGACCACCCTTGTCCCCTACCCCAGCATCCCTTCTCCCGTGACTCTGCTTCGCTTCCCTGCCACATATTTCACTTATTAGTTTGCTTACTGCCTGCCTTTCTCCCACTGGGCTGCGAGCTCCGTGAAGGCAGGGACTCTTGCCTGTATTGGTCACCACTGGGTCCTCAGCACCCAGGAGGTGACAGAATCGCTTGCTGAGTGAATGCAAACTCCCAAGTCTCAAAATGCACATTCTTACACAACTTGTCTTACCAACCAGGTAAGGCCCTGTCAACAGGGACTGCCTTTTAGATTTCTTTATGACCTGGGCACCTGCCGCAGCCACCCTGACAGGACGTACATTCGTTGTCGATGGTGAAGAGAAGGAAATAGGCTTAAATTACAGCAGGCGCAATTGACATCAAACTGGGGAACACGATCTGTCTGTGAGACCTGCTCAAGAGCTCTGGCAAGTGGGAGTTCTTTAAAGACGCACACTGGAATGACATCATCTCAAAACTTAGATTCCTATAAAGGCTTGAAAGAAGGTCATGAGAATCCAATACATTATAGTGTGAGGGTATCGAATCTCTTCCTCTGGAGTTTGTCAGGAGCAGGTCAGAGGTCCATCTAACCAGCCATAAATGGGGCAGAAAGATTCCCAGAGAGATGGAGAAGTACAGAACGATGTTCAGAAGCAGCAATTGTGGCTTTGACTTTGGGAATAGCTCTGTCTACGTTCACCCTGGCAAACTCAGCAGCATCAGATCTATTCATTTCAGCCGGCAACTATAGATGTGGAATTCGGTATGAAAGGCACGGCCGGGTGCAGTGGCTCACGCCTGTAATCCCAGCACTTTGGGAGGCCGAGATGGGCAGATCACCCGAGGTTAGGAGTTCGAGATCAGCCTGTCTAACATAGAGAAACCCTTTCTCTACTAAAAATACCAAATTAGCCAGGTGTGGTTAATTTGATTACAGGATTACATGCCTGTAATCCCAGCTACTCGGGGAGGCTGAGGCAGGGGAATTGCTTGAACCCAGGAGGCAGAGGTTGCGGTGAACCGAGATCCCACCATTGCACTC